ATATATATATATATATATATATATATATATATATATATATATATATATATATATATATATATATATATATATATATGTATATATATGTATATATATATATATATATATATATATATATATATATATATATATATATATATATATATAGTAGAAATAGTAATTACAAAGCTAATTACAAAAAAATTTCTTTTATAGAACTTTTTATATAGACATTGATATAAGCCAGATGGCGCTATTAAGGGAATCTGCGAAGAGATTTTTTTTGGAGTTTTATACCCGTAAATGCTAAATCTTCTTTGGTTTACATTGTAAAGGTTACATTGTAAAATGTGTGCAAAAATTATAAAAAAAGTATCAAATTTTAAACATTAGTTTCTCAGAATCTGTATATAATATTCGAACCAAATTTTAACAGCATAAAGGTAAAGTAGTAAAGAAAGTTCTGAACTAAAATCAAAAATCAAAAATGCACCAATCCATAATGGCTGACAATTATTTTCGAGCATTGAAAAATAATGTCATTTTAGAAAATCAAAGTGCGATAATACAAGATCTATTTGTTCTAAATAGTTGTTTTTAGTTCAGAACCTATTTCCAATATTAAAGAAAAGTCTATGAAAATTTCAAGTCAATCAGTTAAACAGATGGACTAAAAATTGTTGTTTGAATAATAGTGAACATAACAAAAACTTATTTCTGATAAAAATGAAAAAAAAAATGAAAAAAATGAAGTAAATAGTATACAAACATGAAACTAGTAAGCCCCAGAACTACAAGTTTCACCCTCTGTCTCTATTTCTTTGTCAAAGAATCATTTTTTTAATGCAATTATAATTTTTCTCAGTTTTTTTTTATTTTGCTCATTTTACTATTAACTTGCTTGATACAAGTACTGTCCTTTTTTATTGCATAGAAAAAAAAGTATTTCCTAGGAGTCGAATTTAATAGTTTAAATATATGATTAAGTCATATAACACCTTCATTGTAACTTATGATATATAATCTGCTATCATAAATACATATATATATATATATATATATATATATATATATATATATATATATATATATATATATATATATATATATATATATATATATATATATATATATATATATATATATATATATATGATGGCAGAATATACTCCTATCTCTAAAACAGTTCTTGACACAAAACGAGACTTTGGGCACTTATTCCAAATTAATTGGTTTAAATCTTCATTTGGGTTTGTAAGCACTTTTTCAAAAGATTTCATAACCAAGATCTTTAAAGATGCTTTTTTCACACATTTGATGAAGCAGAGTCATAAACATTATGCAAAAGATTATTAATGCTTTTATATGAAAAAGTCATCGGAGGTGGCATATTCATACAACCGGGAAATGTCTTTAAAGCTTCATGTCCACGACCAATTTCGCAAAACTAATTAAGCACGTACAGTGACTTTTTGTATATGTTTATTTTTTATCTCAGAAGACGAGTAAAATATTATAAGTCTAATCACAAGATATTCATTTTAGTTTAACGTTATGCGAAAGCTCTAATTTTTTATTTGGTCAAGACTGACAGTGACCTTGTCGCCATAATCTAGGCATCTACTCAAAAGTTTAAAACAACTTTGTAGTACTCCAAAGTGAATTACTATAAAGAAGTTAGAATCTCCTTCTTTAACAGTTAAAAGCGAATCATCTAAACTGATTTTTGATGATGACACAGCTTTCTTTACTATTGGTTTATCAATTTGATTTATTGTAGCACATGAATATTTGTTAGACAGATATACATGTGCTACAAAAAATTTCTTTATTGTAGCATATGTATAGTCTTTTTCTTATTAATCCTTTTTTATTTTTATTATTACCCATATTTAATCACTCTATAAACGTATAAAGAACAAATGCAGTTATTTGTATTATTAAGATAGATAAAAAAAATTGAATAAAGCCACTGTGTTGACATCAACACAACATAAACAACATTACTTTTTGTTATTTAAATGTCATCATTAAAATGAAAAATATAACTTGTAAATAACAGATTGCCGTAAAACAAAGAAGACAAAGTAAAAAAATGCATTTGTAGTTCAAGTAATAGGTTTTTTGTCAAAAAATGATAAAACAAAGGTAAAACAAAGCTGACACGGTTGCTAAGGTGTTTCTATGGATAACATTTTTAACCCTATACCATAAAAATGTAAATTTCTTTATGATGGAACGTATAAATTATCTCAAATGACATATTTTTGGAATCTGCAATGCTTAAGCTAGATAAAAAAGCAATAGGGCAAACTGACCAAAATCTGGCCACTTCTTACTTATTTGTTTTAAATATAAATTCGCATAACGTAATATAAAAAAACAACTTTAATATTAATAGGATATTCAGAGATGAATATAATTACAATTTTTTTTTTTCATTAGGCTAGACAAGCATGCTAAAGCACCAATATTTTAGACGTACGCTAAAACATTTATTTCTGACCACTTGGATATAATTCTGGCCGGTTCTTACCTAATTCTGGCCAACGGAAAGATTAAGGCATAATATAGAAATAAAAGACCAAAACTAAGATTGTTTACTTATTACAAGTTTAATCAGGAATACTAAGTAGAACATAGCAATAACTAGAATATTAAAAGATCAATATTCAAGTTAAAGACAATAAACAAAATAGAAACGAATAATTACAACAAAATAAAAACGAATAATTAAAACAAAATAAAAACGAAAAATGATTAAAAAGAAAATCTTCATTTCTTTTACAGTTATAAATATTTTTTTCGCTTTGTGTTTTTTTTTTTTTGTTCTTGGAGTAATTTTTCTTCATTCCTTTTCTTTTTTAAAATAATATTTTATTTTTTCTTTTCTCCTTGGAGTAACTTATTTTTATTTTCTGCATGTTTGTACTCCATACCTTATTTCGATGTTACCAAAAAATATTTTTGTTTTAATGCTGTTTTATTTTTTTAATGATTTGTGTTGGATAAGGTAAAACATCAGAATCTAGTTGTCCTGGGAACAAACTATTTTGAAATGGAAAATTTTGATAGATATCTAAACCTCCTAACTCTTTTTTTCTTGTGACATTATCTTGATTATTAATATTACCTGATACTAAATTAGTTGCTGGTATATTAGAAATGACACTATCTTTATTGTTAATATTAACAGAAACTAAATTAGTTACTGATGTATTAGAAATGGCATTTGTATGAAATTTAAAAGCGGAGATTTGTTAATTGCTAACGCTGATATAGAAAAGTCAACTTTTTCCTTAGTTTTTGGATTTGATGGATATTCCATAAACTCTACTATTTCACAATTATCATTAGATAGTGATGGTAATTTGTCTATGTTATTCAATATGTTCTCACTTTTTTGATGGCTTTCTGATGACATGTATAGAGAATTAGGGATCTAAGCTTCGCTTGTAACTATATTTGGATCATATGGATAGATTCCACAAGCCCGAAAGCCAGATTTAATATCATTTACAGTAACAGATTCACTCCAAGCCTGCTTCATCAAGCCACAAAAACTAACTTTCGAAACTAGTGTCCCAGGAAAATTACTAATCAAATTCTCACATACTTTTCTGTAAGCTTTTTTGAGTGGGCCAAATACTGTCCTATAACAAGGTTGTAGCCAGCTGGAAGTGTGCGCAGGCAATTCAACAATGTGTATTTTGTTTGCCACAGCCACATCTAATAACTCAACAAAGTTGTGTGAGTTATGTCCATCTAGAATGAGTAACTGAGGTCTGTCAGAACCAATATATGGAAGAAATGACTTTGTAAACCAGAGAAACGCAATGCCCTGCTTTGTCCCATAACTGTCTAAAACACTTCATGTGCTTCCTTCAGGGGCATTTTCAATTTGAAAATTGCACAGAGATCTTATAGTTTTTCCTTTTACTATAAAATGTGGAGGAATAGAGTTACCGGTTGCATTAAAGCATGCTAAAACAGTAATTTTTTTTACCGATTACCTGAAGTACGAATATGTACATATCTTACTCCTTTTTTAGCAATTATTATTCCAGGGCGATAATCAAACTGGATACCCGTCTCGTCCATATTCCAAATTTTTGTGGTTTATTATTTAAGTTGTTTTCCATTAAAACAATTTTTACAACAGAAAAATATTTTGAAACTTTAAAATCATTCATACATTTATGTCTTACAGCAGCTGTACTTTCTGGTTGACGTTAAGTAAAGCGCTTGTGCCTTTTGCACATTCCTCGCCACCATTTTTCAGGTGTTCCGTTCTTAAATGAATTTTTATGTTTTAAAGCAAAGTTTTCTGCATATTTGAAAATTTGAGATCGACTGAATCTTATTCCTTAAGATGCACGATTGCATGCATATATATATATATATATATATATATATATATATATATATATATATATATATATATATATATATATATATATATATATATATATATATATATATATATATATATATATATATATATATATATATACGTAAATTCCGTTACGCCAGATTTACATGGAAATCATTTGAGACTGTCCTGAAAATGTTAAAAATTCTTTATCCAACTTAAATTGTGAACAGATACTTCGTGGTGCAAAAAAAACTCAATACAGTGCAAATCCCAACAGCGTAGAAGAAGCAGTATTGGCAATATCTGAGCCAAATCCATTTACCAACATTCTGAAAGGAATCGTCAGATTTGAAGACCAGTCGGCCATACTATTTTGTTCATCAGCACTACTACAAATACTCTCAGGTAGCACAGTAATTTAGCTCAAAATTTATGACTTTTTGTGAATTTTTTTTTCAGAAATTTATTTAACATCTTTTAACCTTAGCTTGCTCATAGTATTATGTTTTTGTTATATTTTTCAATACTTTAATACGCAATACAAATTTATTCATTTTTTTCAGGATCTACAATTATTTTCATTGATGCAACATTTTGCGTTGTTCCTAGCATCTTCAAAGGCGGTCAACTACTAAATATCTCCAATATGCATTGTGACATTGTCCTTCCTGTGTTTCATGTACTTATGACTGGGAGAAAAGAAGGTATTTACGTTGCTATATTTAGAAAAATTAAAGAAATTTTAAGTGACTTTCAACCACGAATTTCTATGGCTGACTATGAAGCAGCAATAAGCAGTGCCTTGAAGGTTGTCTTCCCTGAAATAAGATTGACTGGTTGCCGGTTTCATTACGGCCAGGCAATTTTAAGAAATATCAAATCTGTTGGTTTTCAATCTGAGTACATCAACAACCCTGGAATTAAGAGGTGGGGCCGGAAATTTGTTGCCATGTGCCTCTTGCCTTGTGTTCTCATCAGAGCAGAAGTAGATTTACTCAAAACAGAAATGAGTCGATTTGCAAACATTGAAACTCGTAAAAAAATGAGAAAGTTTGTGTATTACTTTGAGAAGTATTGGATGACAACACAAACCCCAGCTTTTTTTTCTGTGCATGGACTTCAATTCAGAACCAGCAATGTCTCGGAATCACTGCATTTAAAAATGAATAGATGCATGGCTGCTCGTCCTAGCTTCTGGAGGTTTCTAGACAATATATATCATCAGGTATTGCCATATTTAAATGAATATTGCAAAGGATAAATTCCGTCGATTAAACTCATAATAAAGTAACTTGATTTATTTTGTAATCCCTTAAGGTATTAAAGTCTTTTCTGATAGGTGCGAATCATCATATAAATTAGCATTAGTTATCATAATTTCACAATCGCACTACTTAAATTTGTATCAAGAAATATTTTACAAATCAAATCATTTGTTCGTACTTTGAAACGGCTTGAAAGTGTGATTTATTTGTGACAATTTGCTCATGTCTGCCATTTATAACATTTTGATGATATATATGTAATCTTTATTGCATTTACAATCTCAACCTTTGTTTACTTGAATTAAATTTGTTATTGTGAAAATTTTGTTAATGAACTTTTTGGATAATTTTGAATGCAGAATTGGAACTCAACCAATTGCAGAATGGTCATCAACCTCGAAGAGGATAAAGAAGAGAGAGAGTTCAATCTTTTGAACGATGACAAAGTTATGAAGAAAAACTTTCCACAGGAGAGTGGACTCCAACAAAGTTTCTTGAGGCTTCAGCTTTCTACTTTAATGACATCAAACTCACATCAGAGGGAGATACAGAACAAGAGCAGGTAAATAAAATCGTCAAAACTTACGATTGGACTACATTACTATTATATTACAGTAAATTATTGTTTTCGGACAAAAACATAAAATTTCTAGTTTAATTTTTATATTATAAGATACTTTTAAAATGCTTTTATCTAATTTCATTTTTGAAATTTAATTTTAGGACAAAAATCTAGAAGAGAATGTTCAGGTTCATCAACAAGAGACCAGGCCTATGAAGACATTGTTCAAGATATGTCTTGCACTTCCTTTAGAAGTTGTTGTTCTGCCGTGTAGACACTTTTGTATGTGTCTTCAGTGTTCAGATAAACTTGCAAACGACGGAAACAAAAGTCGTTTTGTTTCCGTCGTCTAATTTGTCCAATTTGTCGTTTAAAAATTGAAAATTTTTTTAATGTTTTTGTGTCTTAATTGAAGAAATTGTTTGATTATTTCCAGTAAAGTAGCGAAGAATTTTAAAAATTTCAAAAGTTACTTTATTGTTAAATAGAAGGATAAATAGGTTTATTTTATATTGTTGTATGTACGTTGATATCTCCCAAACTCTAAATAGAGAGTTAATATAGTTTTTGCTATAATTGGATACATTAAAAAATTACTTAACTGTATTTCTTCCAACTTTATAAAGTCTTTGCATTTTAAGTCTCTATTTCTCAGAGTTTTAGACCATGCATTAGCGTTGGAACTGCTGAAGATTTATACAATTGGATAATTAATGATGGATGTGCGAATCAGATACCAAATTGAATCAGAGTTTGCACAGTTGTTTGGAAATTTGATACCCTACTGGTAATATTTGATTTATTTAGTGAGGCAAAATTGGGTTTTTCTGTATCTTACATGTAGCCTAGATGATTAAGCTTTTCATTTGGTATTATTTGATGGTTTTTAGGGTAATCTTGCAATTAGTTACTAGTCGCTTTCCGGAAAGCAAAACTTCCATTTTGACAGCATTGAGTTTAATGCCGTCTAATTTATTGTTATTGTTACACGTTGTTATAAACCTTTTAAGATCAGATAGAGTAGAGTTAAGTAGAATGAATGAATTTAATTACGAAAAAAAACATTAAGTTGCAGTTTCATTCTTTTGTGTACGAACTTCTAAAATTTCATTAAAATTCGAGCATCAATTATTTTTTAATACACTTACATTGGAGGCCGGGTGAATAAAAAAAAACATTTGCTTAAACTCAGCATTTTTGGAGTAATTTCATAGCTTTACGTAAGTAAAAGGTTTAGCAAATTTGCTCAAGTTTCTATTCACGTAAGTCGTAAATCAGCTTGTTTATTCACGTAAGTCGTAAATCAGACGTAAGTCACGTAAATCAGCTTGTTTACTTCAAAAACGCCAAATAATTGCTTAGCTTTACAAGAATAAAAATCTAACCAAATTTCCACAAAGTTCAATCCTCGGACTCCTCCTTTTTTAATTTATATAAACGATCTAAATAAAGTAACTAATCTGATAAGCATCATATTCGCTGATGATTGTAATTTATTCATCTCTAAAAGTGACATTAGCGAACTTTTTGCCACCGTAAATAAAGAACTTAAACTTTTATTCCACTGGTTTAAATCCAATAAATTAACATTAAATGCTGACAAAACTAAATGGACTCTCTTTCATTCGCTTAGGGAAAAAATTTTTCAAAATCGAAAATTCCTCAAATCTTTATTGATGAAATTAAAATAAAACGAGACTCCGTTATAAAATTCTTAGGTGTTTATCTCGATGAGAACATTAACTGGAATCAACATATTAACGAAGCTTCGGTATCGGCTTCGGCATGCCGAAGCCAGGGTGAGTTTTTGCCGAAGCTTCGGCTTCGGCGAGTTTTTTTTTAGGTAATTAAAGGTAATAAGCTACTGTTATAATAAGCATAAAACAATTTTATTGCTTACAATAAAATTATTTTATATTAGGGTTCGGACTGTCTGCGCAAATCTGCGCAGATATGCGCAGACAATGTAATTTGTCTGCGCAGACGTCTGCGCCGACAAAATTTACTTAATTTACGCCGACAAAATTTACTTTTTGAAATCAACAAAAAAAGTTTTAAATTTAAAAAATGTTTTAAGTATTATTTTAACTTTTTTATAAATTCAGTGATTAGTAACAATAGGAGTTTTCAAAGATTCTTACAGTAGTAAAAATATATAATGCTGGCGCCTATTCGGTGATTTCTTGACAGTCAATTTCATTGAGAATTGCACCTTCTTCATGAATGTAATTAATCTTGTCCTTTGTGTCCATACCAGCTTTTCAACTTTCGCATTCGTAAGACAATTTCTTAGTCGCGAGTGAATAAATTGAAAAGTCGACCAAGCTCTTTCTGCTGTAGCCGATGAGCAGATCATTTCGTTAATAAGCTTAGCAATTTCGTAAACAGCATGATATTTATCGCGACCGATAATGTTCCAATAGTTTCGCGCGTTAATCTTGAATATTGTTTTCTTTCTTCTCTCAGGCAGCGCAGCCATTTCTCCTATAAATGCAATCAATTCATCCCAGCAGTGTCAGCAATTTCAGGTTTGATATTTTTGGCGAATTCAACTGTAGCAGTGATAAAATCATTAAACTTTGCTTTCATGATGTGATGATTTTTCACATATTTGATGATTTTCTTTGCATATTTGACTGTTTTTGTGGCCTCAGTTGGAGAAAATATGTCCTTCACAAGCAAGTTGACTCCATGAACTCCGCATCCGCTAGCCGAGATGTGTGGATATTTCTCCTCGATGATCCTCCACGCTGATTTCATAACAGGAGCGTTGTCGCTAATGAAACTGGTAAATTTTTGTGAGCCAATCTTCTCAATAACTTGTAAGATTGCCGCGGCGACTGCAGATGAACTTTGAATGATTCCGGATGTATTTATCGAGGTGTAAAAAAAAGGCTTCTGATTGGGCGCTTTAATACAAAAATTCACTATGTGATCGCCTTTTATGTTCGTCCAGCCGTCAGACATCAGTATTAATGGATTAAGCGACTTAAAGAAATCCTTAAAGGCCTCCGATTCAACTAAACGAAGTGATATACCAATACGCTAAAAGAAATTAGCAAGCTTCGTGTCGACATCATTTTTGAGCTCTTTTTTAATTGGTGGATGTACACGCTGCGTCGGTTAATCAGACGTAGACGGAAGTTGCTGAGAATCATTGATTAGATGTGACGATTCATAATTACGCTTAGAAAACAATCTTTTTTCCTCGACACTGGCGTTTGGATATGTTGATCTTTTATGCGCTGCAAGGCGTTCCTTCGACCATTGAACAGTTTTGTTACATGCTAAACAAATGCCAGAACACTTCTCTCAATCAAGATTTGTCAAATACTTCGAAAATTTGATGTTTTCCATTTTAAACATTTTGAATGACGAAAATACACGATTTCTTGATTCTAAATCACTTTAAATTGTAGTAAAAAAAAAAAGTTTATATCGATTGATCATATGTAGCTCGAACCAAAAAGAAACAGATAAGTAATGAAAAACTCGTAAAAAGTAGATAATTATGCAAAAATAATTTCAGACATTTGATTCAGATAAATTAAATTTTTCCTTTGCGTTAGTGTCTGCGCAGACGTCTGCGCAGATATGCGCATATTCTGTCAGCGCAGATCTGCGCAGACACATTTTCCGAACCCTACTTTATATAACAATTCTACTACTTGTAATTCGCTCCTTTACTTTGAATTCATGACGTATGCCGCGGCATACATAGTATACATTGCAAAACTGCAAAATATATTGTTATCTTTTTTTTGATTGCCCGATTATCAAAATTAATGGGTGCTTTTTTATATTTTATTTAAGTTCTATGGTTACTTTTATTCCGTTGTTGTATTTACTGAAACCTATTTTCACTGTAATTTGTATTTAGTTTTTTGCGCTTGAAACGTGCGCAAGTAAAATTATTTCTTAACACCACTCAAAAACATGAATCATTATGATTTTATAATTAAAGAAGCAAATAACCTAATGAAAATCAATGGCAGCATGCTGAAATAATTGTATGCATACTAAAACCCTTTGAAAGCGTACAAAAGGTATAAGTGCAGACACATCAGAGATCATACCGTTTCTTGACTATGCCTAGGGCAAATCAACTGAAATCAAAACTGCTGTTGATGAGCTTAAAAATTTGACATTAAACTTTTTAAAGAAACAGATCATAGTATGTTTAAGTATGTAAAGTATGTAATTTTATAGTATGTAATATTATATCAAAGGTACTACCAATTTCATTTGGAGAATCGAGACTCTAAATAAAAGCGGTAGTACCCTTGATATAAAATTTGCTCGCTTGTTATAAATATCATTTACAACAAGCAAAAGAAGTTGATTTCGTTAAAGACTCTGATTGTGATGGTCAAATTAAATAAGCATGGTTGTATTCAGCTTTTTTGATCAATTGGGTATAAACGCTTCACAGAA